TTTACATAATGAGCATTATTGTCCTAGCAAGGTTCAATTTCTCACTTATTCAAAAAAAAATTATTCAAAATACCAAGAATAGGGTCCAGCCTGAATTTTGATGAAGATGCAGAAAGACCTACTTGACCATGGCTGACACTCATTGCTGATTGTAAATTTCCAGAACATCTAAAGAATTTGTAATAATTACTGTAGTTAGTCATGCTCAAAATGGGATGTGGTAACACAAAGAGCTGGAAAAGCAGGGCAAAATGACAAGATTTCATCAAAAGGGCTAGAAGAGATATTTGTCATTTAAAATAAAGATTGAAGACTTCTAAGAGAAAAAATGGCAGAATAACCTTAGACTAAGAGGTATTAAGATACTAAAGGGAGTAACCTTTAAAGCCTGCCTACAAAACAGATCCCTGAAGTCCTGAATCATAATAGTAGAGGAAAGGAAGCATTGAAATACATGAACATTACCCCAGAAATTTCCCAGAGATGAGGGGGAGAGCAAAAGTTTCTTGCTAAAATATTCATTTCTGAACTTCTAAGTAGCATGGAGTGCAAGAGGAAAGGAGAAGACAAGGATAATAGGAGGGGAAATAAATCTCTTCCTTTAAATACGTTTAGTGGTGTAGTGATAGGGGTAGGATTACACTCAATTTTATCTGAATGGATAACACAGGCCAGGATATTATCTGCAGTTTTCTTAAAATCTCCTCTGAAATATGGCTTTAACACTTCTTTCTGCAACAGCAGTTTGCTCCCTAACTGTGCCATTTCCCACAGCACTCCACTGCTCAGGTTAACCCTCAGGAAAATGGGCTTCATGGTACAGCACAGAGAAAAAAAAGAAGTAGTTTAATTCCAGGGAGAAATTGAACTAGTGAATAGGGTGGCAGGAGTCCTGAGCTGGTTAATTTGGGGAAAATTATATGAACCACTTGTGTAAAACTGCAGGGATTCATCAGTAACACATAAGCTGCAGCTGTTGTTAACCAGGCAGAAAAGACAGAGGGGATTGCAGGAAGACCTACCTAAAAATTCAGCTATTTGCTTTCACCTGCTTTGTGCAGTCCTTGTGAAGCTGATAAACCATTCACTGATTTGCAACAGCAGATTTAAATTTAAAATTGTAAATCAGCACACCTCAAGTTGTCTGGCCCAGACACGTTACAACTCCCTCCTGCTCTAGTTTACTGTCATGGTCTAAAATCCACGAGACCCACCACCACAGGGATGAAGAAATGGGTGACCCAGTGAAATTTTGGAGCTGTTTGATTTGAATTTGCCACACATTCACTTCAGTGAATGCCCCATGGCACAGTTACACCTCCTGAGTCTCTCATCTTGCTTCATGTTCACTTCTCCTTCTGCACTTGCTGCCCAGATACAGGAGTGAGACTGCTTTATGTGATATAGTAACATATTGCCAAACATGGGATACAGAAATAGATGGAGATTAGTTCTATTTTTCTGGCAAAGTTCCTACTGGTGCTTAATTAACAATATTATAAGAGTTAATCACTTGGTGGCTCCTACCTCCACATACTTTCTCAGTGACACGAGGGCACACGACAGGGGTGAGTGGCGGTGCCATATCTGCTTGCAATAATCCCTCACTTCATGAAGGGCTCTAGTGCCATTAACTGGGTTAATTGGGTTCAGAGTTGTTGCCAATCCAGACATCTGTGCTCAGCTGCTGACACTTAGGAAGAAAAAAGAAGCTGAACACAAGTTCCTTGAAACTTTGATGATGAGAAACTTACCTCCAGATAGCTTTTACATCCCAAAGGACTCCTGGAGAGACAGAGAGTGTAGAGGGGGGAGCCCTCCTTTCTGGGAAGGTGTTCCTAGTGTCAAAAGTTATCTCCAGAAACACAGTTTCCAGAATATGAACCCTTAATTTCTTGCAACACATGTGGGAAAAAAAATCTAGTTAAATAGGACTAGAAATGTAAATGTGGTTTGGCAAAGGGAAAATGGCAAGGGAATTATTTTAGCCAGCAAAGCATTTATTTTCAAGTAATCTTCAATACTGGAGATGTCTCAATTCCTCTGTAGTGCCTTTCTCAGAAAAAAAGAAAAAAAATCCTGGGCAGAAGAAGTTATTGCTTTCTGGCTTGGAAAGGAAGAAATGCTATCACCTTCTTCCCAGAGGAGGCAGTCATAGGCTGAGGAAGATTTAATGTCTGTGGGTAACAGAAAAGTTACAGGTAAATGGTAATTTAACATCATAAATGCATTGAATTAGACAGCATTTTCTGAAAACTCACAACTAAAAAGATTTTTATGAGTGAAATTGAGAGGTTTGGGCTTTTTCTTTCCCTATAGCTAAAATTTAATGTATAACTGTTCTCTGTGATTGACATTATGTTTGAGATGAGGGTTTTGTTTAGGGTTTTTTATGTACTCTAGAGACTGACACTGAGTTATTTCATGGGATTAGTGATTTAAGTGATGTGAGCAGGTTGGTTGTCAAGATCAGCAGAAGCTAAAGCAGAGCAGCATTTGCTAACTGCAGAAATTTCAGATTATGTAGTCAGCGAGAGCAGCTTATTAAATGTATAATAAGCTCAGGAAACTTACAAAAGGAATCAAAATTCCGTAACACAGGCAAGCAAAGTTCCCAAGCACCAACATATTCCTTTAAGACTCTGAGGTGACATGAGATTATTATAAAATATTTAGTGAACAAATTTCTGATTGAACACATGAGTAGAGAAAAAAGAATTTAGTGCAGTGTGGTTTTCTGAGAAGAATTTCAAAGTCTGGCTTAACCACTCCAACCATTGTGGCACTGCCAACCTGCAGGTGCTGGAATCAGATTCCTGTCTTTCACTGCAGGCCGTGTTTTCCAGTCACTAAAGTATCATCCTTTGAATCTGTACATTGCTTCTGGAGAGCTTTTTTGGCTTGTTACTATCTCCTATACTTAAATCTCCCCAGCATCAAAATATTCCCATTTTAATCAGACCCTGCTTCGATTTCAAACACGATCCTCCTGACTTTGCCCTGCAGACCTTTCTCTCTGCATCTGCTCTCACAGATAAATCTGAGCCCTCCTGCCTGCAGCCTTTGCCTTTTATTAGATGGGTTGCTACCAGCCTGAAATGTAAAATAATAATGGTTCTGGCAGTTCTTGAGCTGTGGACTTCTACAAAACACATATGTTCACCTGCACCGTCTTCCTACAAATGCACCACTTCCAGTAGAGTCAGACTCTGGCTGGATGGTATTTACATGGTGTGTCCCCAGTGCAGCACAAATGCTGATTTCCAGAAAGCTCTGTGTGCTGGTTAAATACAGGATGTGGGTGGGTGATGGAAATCTCAGCAGAGAGTGGAAAACAATTAAAAACAGCTGCAGCCAAGTGAGTGCTGTACCAAGGGCAGCTTCATCAAGGTTATCAGCTGGAGGGGTTCTTGCTGCCAGGCAAGAGACTCCTCATTTCCAGCAGGTTACCAACATCCCCTTGCTTCTCCTGCCCAACTTTACTTCTTTTACTGAGTCCTGCTGCATTCTGATCACGCTTTACCGATGTAAAGTGAGTGTTGCTCCTGCCTCCCAAACTCCTCACACCTGTTTGAGAGCACAAGGCAAGATTCTACAGAGGATGGCCATGACCTTTGAGTTATGCCATCCTCTGGGTAGGTGAGTAATAGAATCATTATGGTTGGAAAGGATCTCCAAGACCATCAAGTTCAACCTCCGATGAAATAAGACTTTTAAACCATATCACAAATTCTCATCTTTACTCCTTTTTTGGACACTTGTAGGAATAGTGACTCTGCTTTTTTCCCAGGAAGCTTGTTCCAATGCTTACTCAGTCTTCCAGTATAGAAATTTTTCCTAATATCCAGCCTGAACCACCACTCCCAAGTGATTGTGCCGAGTCTTCTGCCAGCACAGGGGTCAGAGGGCACACAGTCAACACAATGTGCCACCAAAGCTGTGGGAGCAAGGCAGACAGGGCAGCACAGCACGTGAGCAGCAGGGGGAAATGTGAAACATGAAACTTAGCAAAACTTGGGTCTCTGCCTCCACTCCATTCCTTAAATACCTTCAAAAATTCCATCCCTAATGAAATTCCAGTGCTGAAAGTGATGAGGGTCTGCAAGCAAAATGAAAACAGTACTTCAACCCAGACTTCAAAGCATTGTGCTTATTAGGCAGTTTTCTGATTTGGGGACATAGCAGCTGTCTCAGAGGGTGTTTGACCATTTTTCTCCAATAGCAAGGAAAAAGTTTTTTCATTTCCTTTTGTGGAGAAACATATACAAGCTAGGCAAGAGGAAGGTGTCTGCTCATGTAAAATGTAGGAAGGCATAATGGAAGTTTCACAATACCCTTTCAAAGTACCTTAATACACATCAGGCAGACTATTTCAGCTGCCGAATTCATTCCACATTTCCCTGCTTTCTGTTCAAAACTTGTGAAATATGGTAGTTTTATTATTAAGGTGCTGTCATTTATAGGTATGGCTTCAGTCATTCGTTTAGCAAAAAAACTCTTTGTCCAGCCAAAGAGAATAATTTAATCTCTGTCCAGCTGGGTAATATCTATTGATGCTGTTTGGCTGCAGATGAAACTCAGGGCAGAACATGCCACTCATCTTTTACTTTCATCTTATTCCTTCCAACCCATAAACTGAAACAAATTATTTTAAATTAAACACCCTAAAGAGCTCATTCATTGGCAGAAACTGGAAGAAAATCTTGCTTTTGCACAGGAGACATTATTCCAGAAGGAAAGTAGTAAAAAGAGACCTTTACTATTCAATTATAGACCAGCTCGCATGCCAACAATGGTACTGCAAAATTCTGTCCTGGATTTCAGTGGGAAAGGGGTGACTAAATGCCTCAGGGTGCAGCAAATATAATATAGACTGCCTTGTTGGGGCCTTGAATTCAAGCCAGATCAGGTCTTACTGCAGTGAAATAGTAGAGATTTTATCATAAAATACACACTACACCCTCTCCCTGGATTTACAGGGCATTTCAAAGAAATCTTACCCGTGCTGGATTGTAATGATGGTGAATTTTCAGTGCCTTGCTCCAAATCCTCAGGTCAGTCAGCAGGAACATCACAGGAACACGATACAGGCTTTGTCTTGTTTCTCCAGAGGGTTTGTCTTTCCAAAAACATTAGTGGACTACACGCATTATTTAAAAAAAAAATTCCTACATTTTGTTTAAGCTGAAAAGAGAAAAACAAATATTTGAATTAACAATTTTTTGCTCCTTCTGGATGTAAACTCTCTACTGAAAAAAAAGTGCATTCAAAAGGTAGTGAATTAGTTGGAAAGGGCAGATTCTGACCTGATAAAATTGCCGTGGCTATTTAGAGAGTGAGATTTCATTAGAGTTGCTATAGCAATTGGAACAGTTTGACAAAACCTAATGAATGATTATGACAGAAATAGAGAAAGCTATAAGCTGTCAAAAGCTACAGGAGCAGAAGCTTCACAGGTTTCTGAGCAAAACCCCTCTGGAAGTACCCCGATCTCCCTGGAAAATACCACACGCATTTCAAACAGTTCTCCAGGGTATTCATTGAGCACTGACAGCAATAGAAAACCAAGTGCCCTCTCCACTGCAGAGTTCCTCATGATTTTCTTCTCTGAGAGGCACACTCGGCTATTAAGTGCTTTATTTCATAAAAGTGCTTGGCACTTGTGTGGCACCACTCATCCCAGGGCACTGGGAAGCTCCTCCTGATGCTGTATTAACCTTATCAAAGAGGTACTATACAGTCCTGTGGCTGAGTAAACTGAGCCAGAGACATGAAAGGACTTTCCAGGAACCAAGCAGGGAAGTACATGGTGGCCAGAGCTCCCAGAGCCCAGACAAACCTCAGGCACATGAGCAGGGGGGACCTGCAGAGCACCCCCACAGGAGGTGCCCCTATGGCAAGCAGCTGCTGCAAAATATCCTCTGGGTTCAGCTGAGCTCCTGCTGCACTGTGGTGCCTCTCCAAGGCATAAATCAAAGCTACTGTCTGGGGGGGCTGTTCTCAACTCAAACTCTGCATGACGCCAGAAGGGTTTTCAGGAGCTGCATATACATACATACATACATACATATATATACACACCTTTATTCCAACATACAATTCTCAGCACAACTTCTCTCACTGGGTTTTCCCTCAGGTCTGAGACTGAGGAAAAATTGCCCTCAGGTCAACAGAACAAGTCTTTAAAAATTCCCACCCAAAATAGAATGCACCCAGCTGGTCCGTGCATCAGAAGAGCGAGGAGGAAGCAGGGTTCCTGTCTCACCTCCAGTTCCCAGCCCCTTCTTTCTTTTGCTCTGCCCTTATGGACAGAGCCCTCATTCCAAAGGTACCTGCAGACCTACAGACCTTTAGCCAGCTCTTTGAGGGAGAGCAGCACTGATTTTAGGTTGTTGGACACGTTGAGTGGTGATTCTTGGACTAACGTGCTCCATCACTGGGCAGAGCTTCATCACAGGATGGATCTTCAAATTACAGATATTCACCTGCAGCAGGAGCTGAAACAAATTTTTTTCTTTGTTAGAGATGTCTGAACAGTGTTTTTACAGCATAAAAATCTAAACCAACAACAAAACCTGTCCTTTAAACAGTTTGACTGATATTAATGGAGTTAAGTGGAATAGAATTTGATTCTGGCTTTTTAAAGCTGCTAACCCCAGAAGAGTCCCTAGAGCCTCATAGGATTGCCCAAGGATATTTTAAATTATGACTTAAATTTAAAAATAAATTTCTTCCCAATTTTGTCAGAACTGGGCAGTCAGATCCTGAGCCAGCCAAGCCCCAGGGAGCCATGAGGGATGGCCAGAACAAAGCAGCACAGCAGAGAACATGTAGAGCTTCAATCTGATATAGGAAGTAGCAGATAAATCACATTTTGTTTTCCAACCATTTCTGCTAACAGCTGTATAAATTAATTTTCTTTGTTTGTTCAGTCTGATGTCAAGTGTTTGAAACACGCCTAAGCATCAAAAAAATTTATTTAGACATTAACTTTGTTACTGGCAGATAAACTACAAAATATTTAACACATTGGAGACCTTGATATGTTGGGGCAATGTGCTAATTGTGCTGTGGTGACTCCTGAAAAATTACCTTCGGACTGCTTTAGTCAGACAGGCAGAAAAGCAGAGTGCTGGTTCTCTGGTGCCAGTGCAGAGGGCACAGAGAGCACAGTTCACTTGCCTGTTAACTGCAGGGTTAGACCTCCTTTAGTCAGCCTTGCAGTCCTGTCCCACCTGAACCACAGCCATTAGCCAGGGGCTGTGTCTGTGCTGTGCTGTTTGTCAAGGGCCTGGGGTGACAGGGCAAGGGGGAATGGCTTCAAAGTGACAGGGGGCAGGGTTAGATTACAGATTAGGAAGAAATTCTTCCCTGTGAGGGTGGGGAGGCCCTGGCACAGGCTGCCCAGAGAAGCTGTGGCTGCCCCATCCCTGGAAGTGTCCAAGACCCAAGGCCAGGTTGGATGGGGCTTGGAGCAACCTGGGATAGTGGAAGGTGTCTCTGCCCACAGCAGGGCATTGGAATTAGATACGTTTCAAGTCCTTTCCAACCCAAACCACGCTCTGACTCTATGTTTGTTTACCCCAGACAAGGACAAATACCGATTTATATTCAGAAGCATGAGCTTCTAAATCTCACTCCAGAAAGTTTTTCTAAAAGTTAACCCTAGTAACTCTGGTTATTTATCTTTGTCATATCAGATAGGTAATCCCCTATCAGGTTCAAGTCCTCGGTCTTAATTCTGCACACAGCATTTCCACTTAGCATTTAGACTAAAGACTCAGCACTGATAGAGGGATTAGACATTTTATATTGCCATAGTTCATATTCTAATATATTTGAGCTCAGAAAGTGATTTCCTTTGCACACTTTTGTGTTGTTGCCTTTCAGTTTCAGTATCAGCTGCTCAGTACTTGCACAAAGAGATGGGGAAAATGGCACTTCCTACCCAACGTGAGCATATACTGTGCTCTTGAGCAGGAAATGGAGAAGAAAAGACACAATTTTTTGCATTCATTCAGCTTCAGTGGCCACTGCAAGCACATGCAGGTGTGGGAGGGAGCTCCTACCACCTGTTTATCTGTTTGTCATGCAATTGGTCCAGCATGGTTCACCAGTGGGTGCCACTTTGGAAGAGACAACTGATAATTTCTGGTTTTAAACTCAAATCTGCTTTGTTCAAAAGAAAGGTGATAACTTTAAAAGAGGTCCATAATCTAATCATTTATACAGAAAAAGACTTAATTCATGCATGAGCATGAACAAGCCCTAAAAACTAGAATATAAAATTATAGTGGTGTGCATATGGAGAGAGTTATACGCTGATGATCTGCAACATTTTATACAGAGAGATTACAGTTTGGTTATTAATTATAATAACCTCCCTTTCTGAATTAAAATTTTTGCACAATTATTACCAAGAAAAGAGAAAGATAATAATCACAGCACATTCCAAACACTTGTCTTCATTTTCCTTGCTGCAGTCACTTGCCAGGCTTTTCTCTCTGCGTGCCTAGCATCCACTCCTACACTTTCCATGTCTTTGGGGTCACTGTGGAGTAGCTGACTACAATATGTTTGGCACAGTCTGAAGCAACAGGGGTCACAACATTAGACTGTCATTTTCTTAAAATTTAAAAACAGCCTAAAAATAAGAAGTAGCAGCATTTGAGGAAGTTTTCAACATATGGCTACATGAACAAATTTTAAACATATGGGCCATCAAACGCATTCAAGATGTGTTGAAGCCCATCTAGTGATCCCCAGTCAGATATTATATAAGATTTCAAAAGATGAAGGACGTGGATGCCTTTTTCAGTCTCATGACTAGTCTATGGGCACTTCATCTGCAAAAGAAAGATATAACTCATCCTCACTTAAAGGGTATTCATTCATTTAGTGCCTGGGAATTTGTACAACAAGAAATTTCACCTTTGGGATTTCTCATCTTTGGTTCTTGTACTAAATAATATCCTTTTGCTGCTAAAGAAAAAAAACAGAAACTATCAAAATATGTATTTAAAATATGTATTTAACTTCATTCAGGACATGTAGGTGAGCTGGTTCATCAATCCTCTCTTAAAAATGAAAGCAATATTAATTATTGTTGATTATATTATCCCAGTGGGAGGCAGAAATAACCTGAATGCAGAAACTTAAATCACAACTTGCAATTTACTGAAATAAAACAGAACCAGAAAGAAATATCTTCTATTTCTCTAGAAATATCCAATGTAAAAATTGCAACAGTGACAATTCATAACTATAAAGAAATAACTGATGATTGTAGATCTTTTGTAATGCTAAATATATTTTATATAAAACTGGAACAATTTTTTCTCTAAGAACTAAAGGGCTTCCTTTTGTCTTAAGTATTAGAGTGAATCAAGAAAATTTTTTGTTTGAACTGTTGAATTAGTGGGTAGCTTGTAAGAGCATACCCCTGTCTCTTTCCTGTAACTTAACCCAAATAAAGATGTTCATCTTAACTGACACAACAGATACTCACCGAGAGAGCTGCAAGCAGCCAGGCTAGCAGTGTCAACTCATTGTCATTTGTAGGTTATTAATAACTAACTCAGAGAGGCTGCTTAGCCTTAACATTCCTGTTACTGACTTCAAAATAGAGAAATTTTCCCTTTTAGTGTCACTCCATTCCTCTAGCTTTCATTTTGCTGTTGTCCCAGGACTTGCCATGTGCACCTGGCAGCATCCTCTGCTGCAGTGGATATTATCTTATCCTTGCCCTTCAGCTCAGCTCAGCTCCAAGTGCTCTCTATGATCACTTCAGAAATGTCAGCTGTGGTGTTTATGTCAGCTCTAGTCAATCAAGGGAGGGAACAAAATTCTGAGTTTCTCCAGAAGCATGCTGAGATGCACTTCTGGAAACCTGATTCTGCCCAGAAAAGACTCACAAACTGGTTCCAAAGTCTGACTGTGGGAAGAGCAGTTGTGGACTGTCCCTCGCTGGAGCTCTTGCAGAACCACCTGGCTGCAATCCTGTGCAGTGTGCCCCAGGGAGGCTCTGCTGAGCAGGGAGGCTGAGCCGCTGTGCTGCCTTCCAACCCCCCAGCCTGTGTTTCTGCCAGTACCCCTCTGTGGGGTGGTACAACTGGGCTCCCCTCCTGGGCATCAGAAAGAATACTGGAAGGGGATTGAGGACAGTGACCAAGAGTTTAAAGAAAAATATGAGACAGAGAGAAAAGAAGGCATTTTTGAAAGGAAACATCATCATGTTGGAAGGAACCTAGTGCTCCAAGGGTAGCAATCC